ACAGCTCAGCACTGACACTAAAGGCACCGAGACTTCTGGAGCTGTTTCACAAGAGACCCGACTGACGCACCATTGAGCTCTTCAGCGAAACCACGTGAAGGTCCCACAGCAGTGACATCAACTCTTTTGGTGAGACCTCACCGAGAGTATTGTGTGCAGTTGTTGTCTCCTTATTTAAAAAAGGACATACTTGCCCTCGAGGGGGTGCAGCGTAGATTCACTCGGTTAGTTCCTGAGATGAGGGGACTGACCTATGAGGATAGGTGAATAAACTGGGGCTGTATTCTCTATAGAGTACAGAAGAATTGGCAGGAGGTGACTAGTGGACTAGTGGGAATCGATGCCAAACGCTGTATTTTCAGAGCCGGTTATGGGTGGGGCGGGGTGGGGCAGAACAGCCGTATTGGTACAATATACGTTACAGCGGCGGTGGGGGGGGGTGGGGGGAGATTGGGAGGGAGGAGTCTTACATTATTTCAACAATCTAAGCTTCCAACCAGTTTCATTTAATCGGCCTTCTATCTTCCATTTGACATTTTATTTGTCCTTGAAAGCCTTGATCTTCGCTTCTTAGGTATCTTTGTCCCTTCAGATTAAAAAAAATGTGCTATTGCACTCGTTAGCATCCTTCGTTCACATATTTGTACAAATATCCTTTTGGGAGGAATCCTGTGGGAGGAGTCAGTGGGACGGCTCCTTTTTGATGTCTCTACGTCAATCGGTTAGACAGACACGCAGACATTTTGTTTTTATTAGTATTGGTGTATCTCTCTAGAAAGATGTGTGATTTCCTCTGTCGACACTTCATTGCAGAATACCATGCATACCTTTTTGGGGGGCTTAATTGAAGCATTTTTTAAATATATTTTTTGAATATAGCTCCAACAGCAGGAGATATTTTTCATCCCCGGAAAAAATATGCCCGTGGCACTCCACCTATGCAAGACCTTTCGGATGTGGTGTAAATCATGTCTCTACGTCAATCGGCGATTGCGTTCTTGGCGGACAGACAGACACACAGACAGACTTTATTAGTATAGATATATTGTTTGGGACATGACGAGCGCATGTGACTGACTGCCATGACGGTGGAAGGTGAATTGGATGGACCTCGGTCTCCTTTCGTCTAGCAACGCTTAGGTGGTCATGAAAACAGAGTTCGCTGGGAACACTCAGGCAGCATCTATGGAGAGAGGAAAGTGAGTTAACGTTTCAGGTCAACGAAGAAAGGTCATCGACCTGAAACGTTAACTCACTTTCCTCTCTCCATAGATGCTGCCTGACCTGTTGAACGTTGCCAGCGACTTCTGTTTCTATCTCAGCTTTGCAGCGTCCGCAGTATTGTGCCCGTGTATCTGATGTTGTTCTGTTCTCCTCTCCCGGCAGCTGGCGCCCGGTGCCGCTGGAGCAGTGATGAGCGGTGATGTTCCCGTTGCCGAGGGGCCGCTCCCGTTGCCAGGCTGGCAGCAGTTCTGTGAGCTCCACGCCCGGGCTGCCGCGGCGCAGTTTGCCAGGAGTTTCCGGCTGTTCGTGAGCGAGAACCCGCGGTACGAGAGCGTGGGCGCCGAGACCAGCTTCTGCCAGCACTTTGTCGCTCACTTCCTCCGCTCCTTCGCCGTGGAGATCAGCTGCCTGCCCGTCCCGGGCTCCCCTTCCAATCCCAGCCCTGCCACGCGGGAGCCGCTGCGGAGAGACATGTCGGACTCGCTGGAGAGCGTGGAGCCGGCGCTCGGCCAAGCCGCCCGCCTCCGCCACATGGCAAACCTCGGGCACTCCCGCAGCTCGGAGGACGTGTCGACGGCTCAGCCGCGCTTCAAGAAGGGTTTTTCGCTGAGGAACATGAGCCTGTGCGTGGTGGACGGGGTCAGGGACATGCTGCAGTGGGGAGGGGCCTCGGGGGAGCCCCTGCTGGACGCCCCCCAGGGTCACGGCCCGGACCCTGGGGACAAGAGCGAGGGTGAGAAGTGGAGCCACAGACTGCGCCTGACCAAGGCCTCGTCCCCCCGCGTCCAGCTGCTGGACATCCAGCGTGAGGGCACCCTGCGCTACACCATGGCCGACGATGCCAACAGCGCCAACCAGTGGCACAAGTGCCGCCTACTGCTGAGGAAAGCCGCCAACCTACAGGGAGAGCGCTTCCTGCTCGAGTTCTACTCCCCTCCCAAGGTACCCCCCCCCACCTCGCATGGAACCCCCAGCCCCTCTCCCCTAAGGTAGCCCCTCCCCGACTTCACAGGACCCCCCCCCCACCTCCACATGGGGTCGGCGGATCGCTGCAGTGTCAGAGACATGTCCTTCAGATGAGATGTCAAACTGAGATCCTGTCTCCCTTCCTATCCCACTCGGTCTGTCTCTCTGTCTCTTTGTCTTTTCCTCCCTCTAATTCCCTCTCATTCTCTGTCTCTTTGTCCCCCTCACAGTGTGTTTGTGTGTGTGTGTGTCTCCTCTCTCTCTGACTCTCTCTCTGGTTGTCTATTGAGGAGGTAGCGACTGGGTGCCGCGTGTCAATGTCTGTGATCTGCTTCAGTCTCTCCAGAGCTGGTTTATGGGGGGGAGAGAGAGTGTGAGCAAAGAGAGACAGCAGGAAATGGAAATAATAATACAATAATCCTTGCATTTGATAAAGCTCTTCACAGAATATACTGTAAAGTGAATTGACTGTATATTTTGTGGGCCTAATGCGGCAGCCAATTGCGCACAGCAGCGTCTGTCCCACAAACAGTCGTGGATCGAAGTGACCAATTTATTATTGTTTTCTTGAGGGATTATTATCAGGAGTGCGGAGTAGGAGTGAGTGGCTCCTAATTGATATGAACTGAAGGTATAACATCGTGCGTTCAGGGCAGAAGAATTGACAAAATAATTAGTCTCCCAATAGTGCAGGAAATATTAGCAGTGGGTTATATCCTCGGCCCATTGCTTTGTAACTTGTTAAATGAGGGCGAATAATCTGTCAGCAACTGGAACACCTTCTGCTGTTTGCCAACATTTGCACAATTCTAGTGTTTATACTCCTGACAATGAACCGTTCACAACCCACTGGAGCTCTCTACTCTAACCCCATTCCCTACTCTCTCTCTCTCCCCATCGTGTCTGTGCTGGGGCTCGCTCCCCCACTGGAGCTTTCTACTCTAACCCCATTCCCTGTTCTCTCCCCATCGTGTCTGTGCTGGGGCTCGCTCCCCCACTGGAGCTCTCTACTCTAACCCCATTCCCTGCTCTCTCTCTCTCTCTCTCACCATCATAGAATCGTACAGCACAAAAAGAGGCCATTCGGCCCATCGAGTCTGTGCGACTCTTTGAATGGAGCAATTAATGTCAATCCCACTCCCCGGCCCTTTCCCCATAACCCGCAAACCCGTCCTCCTCAAATACCCGTCCACCACATTTTTAAAAGTAGTTATCGAATCGTCCTCGACCGCCCTTTCAGGCAATGTTCCAGATTCGAACAACTCGCTGCGTGAAAAAATTTCTTCTCACCTCTCCCCTCGGCTTTTTTTAGAGACTATTTGGAATCTGTGACCTCGAGTCACCGACACCAGTGGGAACAGTTTCTCCCTCTCTAACCTATCAAATCCCCTCATGATTTTGAAGACCTCTATTAGGTCCTCGTAACCTTCTCAGCTCCAATGAGACTAATCCCGGCCTCTCTCGCCTTTCCTCATCATCACGGTCCCTCATTCCTGGTCCCATCCTCGTAAATCTCCTCTGTACCCTTTCCAACGCCTTAACATCCTTCCTATAGTGCGGTGCCCAGAACTGGGGGCAGTATTCTAACTGAGGCCTAACCAGTGTTTATATGGGTTAATCACAACCTCCTGACTCTTGTACTTTATGCCCCTATTTATAAAGCCTAATATCCCATATGTCCTTTTTACAGCCTTATCTACCTGTCCTGTCACCTTCAAGGATTCATTTACCTGCCCCCTCAGGTCTCTCTGTTCTTTTACCCCCCTTAAGATTGTATTACCGTCTATATTGCCTCTCCTCATTCTTTCTACCAAAATACATTACGTCGCATTTCTCCACATTGACACTCATCTGCTATGTGTCACCCATTTTACCATTCTATGTCTTCCTGCAGTCGGCTCCTATCCTTCTCACTGTTTACCCCCTCCCTAACTTTGTGTCATCTGCAAACTTGGAAATGGGACTTACTATACCCAAGTTCAGATCATTTATGTATATTAAGAAGAGCAGTGCTCCTAATGCCGATCCCTGGGGGACACCACTGTACACTTCCCTCCAGTCAGAAAAGCAGCCGTTCACCACAACTCTCTGCTCTCTGTCTCCCGGCCAGTTCTGGATCCGCTGCCACTGTCCCTTTTATACCATGGGCTTCTATCTTTCTTACAAGTCTTTCATGTGGCACTTTGTCAAATGCCTTTTGAAAGTCCATATAAACTACATCAACTGCACTACCTTTATCCACCCTCTCCGTTACCTCATCGAAAAATTCTATTAGATTTGTTAGACAAGATTTGCCTTTAACAAATCCGTGCGGCTGTCCCTAATTAACCCATATTCTTCTAAGTGAAGATTTATTCTGTCCCGGATTATAGTCTCCAGGAGTTTCCCCACTACTGATGTTAGGCTGACTGGCCTGGAGTTCCCAGGTTTGTCCTTCTGTCCCTTTTTGTACAGGGAGTCACATTGGCCACTCTCCAGTCCTCGGGCACCACTCCTGTGTCCAACGAAGATTGAAAAATTGTGGCCAAAGCCTCCGCTATTTGTACCCGTGCCTCCCATAGTGACCTTGGCTGCATCCCGTCCGGACCGGGACACTTATTACCTTCAGCCCAGTCAACCTTTTCAGTACTTCCTCTCTGTTTATACTTACCCTCTCCATTTCCTCTCCCCTCTCCTCCGATACTGCGGCATTTGGTGCATCCACTTCTTTTGTGAAGGCAGATGCAAAGTACTCATTCAGCACATCAGCCACGGCCTCCGCCTCCACAAAAAGATTTCACCCTTGGTCTTAATTGGCCCCACCCTACCTTTGATTAGCCTTTTTTCCTTGATATGTTTGTAAAATATTTTAGAATTCCCTTTAATGTTACCCGCTAACCTTTTTTCGTATAATCTTTTTGCCCCTCTTATTTCCTTTTTCAAACCTCTTCTGCACTTCCTATATTCTATTTGGTTGTCTTCTGTATCTTGGGTTTGACATTTGTCATACGCCTCCTTTTTCTGCTTCATTCTAGATACAATTACCTTCGTCATCCAGGGAGGTTTGGAAGCCCTACTTTTCCCTTTTGTGGGAATGTATTTATTCTGTCCCCGAGCTATCTCATCCTTGAAGACTTCCCACTGCTCTTTAGTTGTTTTACCTGCCAATCTTTCTTTCCAGTCCACCTTGGCTAGGTCCCTTTTTAACTCACTGAAATTTGCCCTCTTCCAGTTGAGTATCTTCACCTTAGATGGTTCCTTGTCTCTTTCCATATGCACTCTGAATCTAATGATGTTGTGATCACTATTGCCCAGATGCTCTCCCACTGAAACCTGCTCCACTTGCCCTACTTCATTCCCCAGAACTAGATCTAGCACTGCTTCCTTCCTTGTTGGGCTGGAAACGTACTGATCAAGAAAGTTGTCCTGTATGCATTTTAGGAATCTTTCCCCGCCCTTGCCCTTTGCGCTGTTGTTTTGCCAGTCTATGTTGGGATAATTAAAGTCCCCCATTATCACGACTCTATTGGCCTTGCATCTGTCTGAGATCTGCTTGCAGATCTGCTCATCTATTTCCTTCCCACTATTTGGTGGTCTATAGTATACCCCTACCAGCGTAACAGCTCCTTTTTTGTTCCTTAACTCTAACCAGATAGATTCTGTTTTGGGGCCCTCCAGCACCTCGACCCTTTCTACGGCTATAACCGTATCTTTGACTTAACATTGCCACACCCCCTCCTTTTTTTCCTTCCCTATCCCTCCTGAATACATTATAGCCAGGAATATTCAGCTCCCATTCCTGTCCTTGCTTGAGCCAAGTCTCTGTTACTGCTACTACATCGTATCCCCCTATGACCACTTGAGCTGCAGCTCACCAATCTTGTTTGCTAAACTCCGTGCATTTAGGCCATGCACTCCAAGACCGACTTGACCTGTTCTGCGCTTCCCCCCTGTTTTTTTTCTCCATTTTCTAGCTCTTCATTTTTTGCATTCCCTTCCCCCCTCAAAATTAATTTGAATCCTCCCCAACAGCATTAGTTAGCCTGTCTATAAGGAAATTCGCCCCAGCGCTGTTTAGGTGCAACCCATCCATATGATACAGGTCCCACCTATCCCAGAACTGGTCCCAATGATCCAGAAAGCTGAAGCCCTCTTCTCTGGACCATTCTCCAGCCAAGCATTCATATGCTTGATCCTGCCATTCTTCGTACTTATTTGCCCGAGGCACAGGGAGTAATCCAGAGATCACCACCTTGGATGTTCGATTCTTTAGTATGTTCCCCAGCATTTGATATTGATCCTGTAGAGTCTCAGCCCTTTTTTTACCAATATCATGGATCCCCACCTGGACCACCACTTCTGGACTTTCTCCTTCTCCCTGAAGAATTTTATCCACCCTTTCTGCGATGTCTAAGACTGTTGCACCAGGGAGGCAACATACCATCCTTGACTCCCGTCTTCTGTTACAGAAACGTCAGTCTATACCTCTCACTGTTGTATCCCCATCGTGTCTGTGCTGGGGCTCGCTCCCCCACTGGAGCGCTCTAACCCTCTCTCCTCTATAGTCCAGTAAACCACGTGTGAGCGTTCCTCTGTCGGCCATTGTGGAGGTCAGGACAACAATGCCCCTGGAGATGCCGGACAAGGACAACACATTTGTGCTGAAGGTGAGGAGGGGGTCGCAGGAGGGTTACGGGGTCTTTTACTGTCAGGGTAGCTCTCACCCACACAGAGTGCTGTTGTTGTTATTGCCTGAGTGGGTAACAGCTTCAGACACTGAGACTGAATCCCAGAAGTTTCCGGAACGCTGATCTGCTGTGAGCTTCGGAACGTGTTATTGAGGAATGGCCTCGGACCAGGGGGAATTCCGGGCCAGTAACACGCTTCGGAGGACAGACGGACACGAGGTAGTTACCATGTCTGTCCTCACGCCAACAACAACAGTTTGCGGTGTTCGCCTGCCTGAGGCTGAGCCTGAGCTGTGTGTGTGTCTGTGTCCGCAGGTGGGTGATGGAGCGGAGTATATCCTGGAGACACTGGATTCTCTACAGAAACACTCATGGGTGGCTGACATCCAGGGCTGCCGGGACCCCGGGTAAGTGATTATCCGAAACCCTGTCTGTCCAGCGCCTTGGGACGTCCTCCCGACGTGAAAGGTGCTGGACAAATGTCATTTGTTGTTGTTGTGTGTAGTCACAAGGTATGTGGGTGTAAGTGTGCACTGTGTACAGGGTGTGGGTGTAAGTGTGCACAGGGTGTGGGTGTAAGTGTGCACTGTGCACAGGGTGTGGGTGTAAGTGTGCACTGTGCACAGGGTGTGGGTGTAAGTGTGCACAGGGTGTGGGTGTAAGTGTGCACTGTGCACAGGGTGTGGGTGTAAGTGTGCACTGTGCACAGGATGTGGGTGTAAGTGTGCACTCTGCACAGGGTGTGTGGGTGTAAGTGTGCACTGCACAGGGTGTGGGTGTAAGTGTGCACTGTGCACAGGGTGTGGGTGTAAGTGCGCACTGCACAGGGTGTGTGGGTGTAAGTGTGCACTGTGCACAGGGTGTGTGGGTGTAAGTGTGCACTGTGCACAGGGTGTGTGTGTGAGTATAGCACTGAACATTGCTGTGCTGAGCCGCTGTGTTTGTGTTACAGTGAGAGCGAAGATGACCAGGAGCTTTCCCTCTCGCTCCCCTCCTGTCCGCTTCCCACTGCGGCCGCCAGCGGGGGAGACACTTCCTCTGACGGTGAGTCCCTGATCTCCCTGTGGACTGGAACCCCTGTGCCGGCGGTGTGACCGAGAATGTGTATCCGAACTCTCCCAACCATATAATTTCAGGGGTGGAGGGTGATGGATAGGAGGGAGGTTAAGGGGTGCGGGGGGTGGGGGGAGAGCGGGGGTCGGGGGGGGGAGACAGTGGGAAGGTGGAGGGGGCATGTGTGCCGATGGCAGGGATTGACCCCGGTCCTGTTCTTGGTCCTGACCTCAGGTGGGAGCCGAGTCCCTGACGGTTTGTGCACGAATCCCGACACGGCTTCGCTCGGGCTCGGTAGAGCCAAGGAATCTCCAAAGATCCATCCCCCGGCTCACATCCCCCTGGAGAGCTTCCTGCAGACCCTGCCCGCCGAGCCCTCCGACACCACAGCCCCCACAGGTACTGTCACTCCGTGTGTGTCCCCCCTTCTCCACCGCACCGCATTGTCACAACGCCTATCACATCTTCACTGGATTCACTGTAAAGCGAAGTGACTGTGTGTTTTTGCAGACAAACACTTATCAAACCACTTTTCTGTCAAAAACTTTCTCACCGTCCTCGAGTTTTTAAGTTTTTATTTTGGTACTTTCCCTTCCCTTTTTTGGCCAGCCTTTGACACATGCGGAAACCCGTCACCGTGGTTAACAGTCTCCAAACCAAGCTGAGATTTCCATGCATCCCACGTACACATAGAAATCCCAGGGATAGATTGTTGGTATGGAATATGCGCTCTCTCTCTCTCTCTCTCTCACTCTCCCTGGATGGACGCTTCCTGCTGACCTAATTCCGGAAAGTATTAGGCGCAGGTTGGCGTGAGCCAAGGCTTGTGGGGGACGCCAGAGCGTGCGATGGGGTAACTGTTGGAGTCTAACCAGATAAAACCACATAGCTTGCCGTTGAGAGCGCTGTCTGGCAAGCTTCCCTGATGCAGGGATTTGGCTGCATCGTTAACAGGAGCCGAGTGGGATGACTCCCTGCCCCAGTGACTGGTCGGCCCTTCCAGATCCTCCCGATGAGCCGAGCCAGGCCGGGCTGTGCTGTCATCAGCAGTGAGTGCCCTGGAACGCTGCGGACCTGTCTGGCTCAGGACCTGGACCAGAGACCCAGTTCAGCTCCAGGGAGACCCCACTTCCCTCCGCCCCCCCCCCCTCCCCCCCCCCCCGCCACCCGAGGAGGATAAACCATTGACAATTTTGACAGCTTCTATTGGATGGTGTCAGGTTGCGCCCCCCCCCACCCCCCACCCACATTATGTTCTTGTGTATATTGGGTGGGGGGGGTGGGGGGGGAGGTCATTGTTCAGGTTTTGCTCTGATTTCCGCTTCTCTCTCCCACAGGTGAAGAGGAGGAGCCGGTATTGGCAGTTCCGCCCCCGCTCACCGGCTTCCCCTGGTTCCACGGCACGTTGCCGCGGGTGGGGGCGGCTCAGCTGGTGTTGGCCGGGGGAGGGCGGAGCCACGGCCTCTTCCTGATCCGGCAAAGCCAGACCCGTCCCCGAGAGTACGTGCTGACCTTCAACTTCCACGGCAAAGCCAAGGCAGGTCCTCAGCTCTCACCGTCACCACCGGTGACACACCCCAGGGGTCACAGCCCCTCCCCCTGGGGTCACAGCCCCTCCCCCTGGGGTCACAGCCCCTCCCCCTGGGGTCACAGCCCCTCCCCCTGGGGTCACAGCCCCTCCCCCTGGGGTCACAGCCCCTCCCCCTGGGGTCCCAGCCCCTCCCCCTGGGGTCCCAGCCCCTCCCCCTGGGGTCACAGCCCCTCCCCCCAGGGTCACAACCCCTCCCCCCAGGGTCACCGCCCCTCCCCCTGGGGTCACACCCTCATCTCAGGTTCACAGCCCCTCCCCCCAGGGTCACAGCCCCTCCCCCCAGGGTCACTGCCCCTCCCCCCAGGGTCACAGCCCCTCCCCCCAGGATCACAGCCCCTCCCCCAGGGTCACAGCCCCTACCCCAGGGTCACAGCCCCTCCCCCCAGGGTCACAGCCCCTCCCGCAGGAGACACGGCTTCTGCCCAAGGGACACAGCCCCCACCCTGGGGCACCCCTCCCCCTGGGGACACAGCCCCTCCCCCCAGGGGAGGCGGGGAGTGACAAGTGGTGGGGTGGGGAGGGAGTGACGAGGGCGAGGAGGGGAGTGAGGGGCAGTGAGTGACGGGTGTGTGACCCCGTGTTTCTCTCCGCAGCACCTGCGGCTGTCTGTGAGTGAGAGTGGGCAGTGCCATGTGCAGCACCTCTGGTTCCACACGGTGTTGGACATGCTGAGGCACTTCCACATCCACCCCATCCCCCTGGAGTCCGGAGGTTCCGCAGACATCACCCTCCTCAGCTACGTCCTGGCCGCACAGCCCCCGCCAGGTACCACCAACAGCGAGCGCGGGGGGAAGCGAGGGGGGAAAGGAGGGGCGTGGGGAGCGGGCGGTGGGGGGAAAAGGGAGAGGAATCTACACTGTGTTCAGTGCCTTGGGACGTCCTCCCTACGTGAACGGCGCTCAACAGATGTAACTTGTAGTTAAACCCACTGGTTATAAGGACTAATCCGACAGGAGAGGGGGAGTCTCTCTCTCTCTCTCTCTCTCTCTTCTCCCCCTTTAACGCTTCAGTCAGATCGACCCTGAGGATTAAACCCCGAGTCTCCCGTCAGTTTCTCCTCTGTCGCTCTCCTATCCCCCTCCACCACACCATTCCCCCCCCCCCACATGCTCAGTGGCATTAAACACACGCACCGAGCGCCCATTACCGTAAGAGTGAATTACCAGACGCCGCGAGTTAACCACCAGCCGGGGAGTGGTTCAGGAAGTGCTTTTAACAGAGAAATAATCAGCGTCTGGCTGGGTTTAAGTGTCCCCAGCTCGAGGTCATGTCCAGCACTAACTCACAGCGGGAAAGTCCCAGCGGAAGAGAGAGCGGGAGAGAGAGAGAGAGAGAGACGCCCTGTGTTAAAGAGGGCTTCTGCCTCCATCCTCAGGAACTCCATCTGCAGTCCTTTTGCATCGCCCCCTCCCTTGCTTTCTTCAAGACCATCCTCTTTGACCGCACCTTTGGTCACCCTTCCACCCCCACACTCCCTGCCCCCCCTCACCCTCCTAACCCCAACCTCGGGTCCAAATCCCTGACTGTCCAGCACCTTGGGAGGTCCTCCCAACGTGAAATGCTCGGTGTAAGAGTCATGTGTTGTTGTTGTGCTGAGACACTGTATGATGTGAGGATTGTTATTATGATGATTTCTTCTTGTTTTTGTCGCCCCCCCCTACCCCAGCGACAGAGACAAGTGGCTCGCAGACCCCCCCGGACACTGCCATCTCCCAGCTGAGCTGCCAGAGCGAACCCCAGCCCCCCGGCCACAGCGAGGGGGGGTCTCCCTCGGCCGTGGGGCAGCAGCACCGCCCCGAGGTGGGGGCGGGTATCCCGCGGAGCGGCAGCTCCGAACGCTTGCTGCAGCCCCCCCTCAACCCTGCCTCCGAGGACTACCATGACAGCGAAGCCCCCAGGAACCATATCAGAGCCGTGGAGAATCAGTATTCATTCTACTGAAAGAGAGACAGAGAGAGAGGGGGTGGGAGAGTGAGACACAGAGAGAGAGTGAATACTGTGAATACAGCCGACCGGGGGGTTGGGGGGGTGGGCTGTGGGCAGGTGGGGTGGGGTGGGGTTTGGGCAATGAGGGTGGAAATGAAAGATTGGGGTGGGGTGGGGGGCGGGGAGGCAGGGGGACAGCTCGGGCCGCGGAGGGTGGGATATGGGGGGGGGAGGTGGGAGTTGATTATGTCTTTATACTGTAAAACTTGAAACCGGTGACAGGAAATCACAAGCGACTGTATTTAACGATGCGAAGGGTCCTGGAGATTGATAAAACGTCTGAGAGTGTTTGTGCTTAGTGAGAGCAAATGCCTGGGGGGGGGGGGGGGTCTGCTGGCAAGTCCCTCTCTCTAGGGTGGAGACAGCGAGCATCAGCGCTGGGGCTGGATGTGCTCAGACTGTCGATAGCGTCGAGCTGGAAGGTCTCTCAGCAATAACGGGAACAAAAACTCAGCAGGTCAGGCAGCATCTATGGAGAGAGGAAAGTGAGTTGACGTTTCAGGTCGATGACCTTTCGTCTCTGACGAAAGGTCATCGACCTGAAACGTCAACTCACTTTCCTCTCTCCATAGATGCTGCCTGACCTGCAGATTGTGGGTGATCGTCCTTCTCCAAATGAGTTCGGTGGCTTTAAACTTTAAAGGCGAGGTGGGTGGGGGCTCTCAATCCGCCAGAGTGCGGTCCTGCAGCTCAGTGGTTAGAGCGCTCGCCTCGCGAGCGAGAGGACCTATGTTCGACTCCCGACAGGGGCGAAATGTTAGGCAAGTTTCCTTACTCCACACCCCTCTGTTTACCTCGCAGTAAGTAGGAACCCGGATGTTAGTGGATTGGCGTATCACTTCCCGGGGGTAATGATCCCTCAAAAAAAAAATTATTCGGTCACTCAATCTACACCTGTTTGTGGGACATTGCTGTGCGCAATTGGCTGCCACCTTTCGCCCACAAAATATACAGTCAATTCATTTTACTGTATATTCTGTGAAGCGCTTTGAGACGTCTCGAAGATGCGGTAAGGTGCTGTATCAAATGCAAGGATTATTATTATTATTATGAGTGGAGACCTGGACAGACACTATCGTGACACTTTGTAATAGATCCACAGATATTTTGCTAATAAAACCCTAACTTTATACATCATTTTCTACCCAACCAAACCTTACACTTTTGAAACTAAGCCCCAACCACAGTCTTACGTTATCTCAACTTGGCCGCCACTATCCTGGTCACTGGGGGACAATTGTCTTCCTCACATCAACGCCAAAAATAGGGGACGAGGGAGCGGAAGCACTGGAAAGACAACTACTTGAAAAGGAAAAATTTGCTCGGATATGGGGAATGAGCGGGGGAGCGGGACTGATTGGGTTGCTCTTCCAAAGAGCCAGCACAGGTACGAAGGGCCGAATGGCCTCCTGCTAAGCTGTGATATTCTATGATTCTATGATTTATGGCTCCCACCCCAGTGATTCTATGTCACGTACCCACGTCACGCTACAAACTGAAAATTATTCCACCGATGGGGGTGCATTTTTGCTGATGTCCAGTAGGTGCAGATACAACGTCCGTGTTTCCAAACATGTTGAGTTTCCAGTGAAGATTCCCCAGGGCCACCTAATGTTCTTAGCCTATGTGATTTTGATGGAAGCTGTGCAGGAGGGAGGGGGTGCCGAGGTTTATACAGGAACTTTGTTTTAAGGAAGCAGGGATTTGGGCCAAAGCGCTTTGGTTCCGACACATAGATGAAACCTGAACAGAAATGCTGTTCCTCACTCTGCTCTTCAGCTCTCTCTCACACACACAGACACACACTCACACACAGATGCTCATACACGCACACGGACTGACTCCAGGTGCCTGGCCAAGCAACTCGCACCCAGACTGGTTGGTTCATCCCGGAGGGCATCATAGGCCACCTCTACCCTCCCCCATCCCTCTCCATTGTAACTGTTGAATCTGTTCTGTTCAATCTTCCAATTTTCAATTAAGTCCAGTTCAGAGACCAGTCGTAACATCCGCCTCAGTCCGTTCATCTCTTCACCCATTTGTGGGAACACTGTCACAGTGCTGCTCTCAGTTTGTACACTTCATGTTCTGAAAATGCTGCTATTTTGTTCAAACCCTCAAAAAAAACATTAAATTGGTTTAATAACTGACGCTGTTCTTATACGTTTCCCATTGATTTCAGTCATCGGTTTGGCTCAGTCACTTGCAGTCTGTCGGTCACAAGGCTACAGTCTAAGCTGATGCTCCAACACAGTATTGGGGGAGGGGGTGTGTGGCGAGGGTGGCATCGGCCAAGGTGCCATCATTTGGAATATTGAACTGAGCTCCTGGGCAGCCATGAAAGATCCCATGTACCTCTCCCTGTTCTGTGACCCATAAACAGAGAGAGAGAGTCTGATTTCTGGTTGATGGTAGATCCCTGGGGTTTGGCTTTATATCCAGGCAGCGCTCATCTTTCCTGAGGCTGTGACCTGATCATTCTATTGAGGAGCGATGTTTGTCGGTGACCTCGGTCACCTCCTTCTCAGCCCTCAGCACCGCCCCAGGGCGATGTGGAACAAGCGGGGGCTTGAGCAGACCCAATGGATAGTTGGGGAAAAAAAATCAGCTGAATGGTTAGAGAGGAATATTAATGTAAGTGGCAGGAGAGGGGAGAGATTGATCAGGAGACTGAGATTAGACTGGGCGGTTCATGTGGAGGGAAACATCAGCAAAAATAACTTGCACTTATATACAGTGCTCTTTATGTGACTCCGAGTTAACAGTGATGGAGCTGGGGAGAGGGGGAGGAGGTGACCATAACCACGGTCGAAGAGGAAGGTCTTCAGGTGCAATCTGAACATGGACGAGGGACCGCTGATGGTGGAATGGGAGCGGGAGGGATGTGGGACGTGCAGGAGACCGGAGCCGGCTGAGCGGGTGGTGAGGTGGGACAGACTTGATGGCCTGATTCTGTCCTGGAATGTTACGTGTGGTTTCTTGGAGTGGAATCCTGAAGCGTATTGATTAGAGCACTCACCTCGAAGCAAGAGGACCGGGTTGGGTTCCTGGGCAGGGCAAAAAGCGAGGCAAGCTTCCTTACGCCACACACCTCTGTTTACCCAGCAGTAAATAGGAACCCAGGTGTTAGATAATTGGTGGATCGCTTTTCCTAAGGTAAATTATCTTTACCCCTGGAAAATTATTTAAAAAATAATAATTTGGTCACTCAATTCATACCTGTTTGTGATGTGCAATTGGCTGCCACATTGCGCCTCCAAAATATACAGTCAATTCCCTTTACAGTATATTCTTCCTTCAAGACACACCTCAAGATCCTCCTCTTCGACTATGCTTTCGATCTCCCAGCTCCCCCCCACCCTCCACCCTCCCCCACCCCGACCCTCAGCTCGGGTCCATAACTCTGTCTGTTCAGCACCTTGGGACGTCCTCCCGACGTGAAAGGCGCTATACAAATATAATTTTGTTGTTTGTGTTGTTGTTGTACTGTGTGAAGCACTTTGAGGTGTCTTGGAGATGTGATAAGGTATATATATCAAATACAAGGATTATTATTATTATTTTAGGAGTGAGCTGTTCAAAGCAGTGTGAGAAATTGTACAAAATAGAACAGTGGTGATGGTGGGGGTAGAATCCTTAGCTGGGTGTCGGGCAGTGGGGGTGGGGAGTGTTGGTCTGCCATTACATTTGCCAAACATGGTAAGGGGCACCACCTTGTGAGCAATCTAAACATCAGAGATCTTCAGAGGTCTCGCTGCCCGATGCAGAAGGAGTGTCTCCCCGTGTCCTGACTAGGATTCCTCCTAATTCATATATAAACCGGTCTCCCCTTTGCTGTGTGGTGATGGTGTGGGGGAGTGGGGGGGGACCCGCCACACCGGCCCACGTATCGATCGCTGCACTTTGGTCACTGTGTAAAGAGCTCTGAGACGCTGTGAGGGGATAAGACGCTGCATCAGATACAATCGCATTGAAAGGTCCCCAATCTGACAGCGTCGCAGGCGGGATAGAGCGGGCGGGGCTGGGACGCTACCCAGACATTGCCCACTAGGTGGTGCTCCTGACCACAGGCTAATGTAACAGCAGCCGACGTGACACAATGACTTCCTCCACGGACGCTCCTCGTTAGACAGTAACTTCGCTTTGAAAATGTTCTGGAAATGTCAGCGTGGTTCAGTCAGTTGCTCTCTCTCTCTCTCTGTCTCTCTCTCGCTCGCTCGCTCGCTCCTCTCTGGGTCAGAAGGCTGTGGGTTCCAGTCGCCCCCCGAGTCAAAGTGTTAAACTCAGAGTCAGGGCTGAAACTCCTGGCGGGAGGGAGAGGGAATTGTGGAGATGCAGTCATTCAGATGAGATGTTGAACCAAGCTCCTGCCTGGCCCTGTGTCTGTCGGCTGGACACTATACCTCCTGTAGCACTATGGAAAAGAGAAGGGACTTTCTGGCTGTCAGTCTCTCAGATTATAATAAATAGTAATAATAACCCTTGCATTTGATACAGCGCCTTATCACGTCTTTGTGACGTCTCAAAGCGCTTCACAGGATATACTGTAAAGTGAATTGACTGTATATTTTGTGGGCGAAACAGAATAGCGCCCACGACATATATAGTCAATTCACTTTACAGTATAAAATGGGAACAAAATAAAGTTAACACTATTAATCCTCCCATTTGACACAGTGCCTCATCACGTCTTTGAGACGTCTCAAGCGCTTCACAGGATATGGTGTAAAGCGAATTGACTGTGTGTTTTGTAGGCGATTCCCCTGGTTGTGTGTGTGTGGGGCCATTGCTGTGGGTAAATGGAAATTGCTGCAAATACACAGTTGATGTCGGTAATTACTGTGAGGGAATTAGCAGATTCCGGGGCTCAAGATGCAAATTCTTTCATTTGTGACACTGAACCTGACAACAGACCCGGAGTGCAGAGCGATACCAACAGATGGTGCCTTACAAACTCCTTTCACTGTTGTTCGAATGAACCTGAGCTGCCTGCCCTTTACCCCTGTGCTGGTGCTCGCTCCCCCCAGAGCTCCCTGCTCAACACCTGGGTCCTGGCAAGGCTTAGCATGCGTGTTCTCGCCCTGGCACCGCGGGTGAGGGGATGACAATTGTCGTGCACACACACAGTGTCATTGAGTCCAGTACCCATCTCCCCGCCCACTCCACAACCACTCCGTGAGTTGGTGGTCGCTGAGCAGAAGATAAACGTGTGAGGGCTCATCACTCGGAAATCACCAGGGGGAGGGGGGGAGGGGGGCGTGGGATGGCGACTGAATTCACTCACACTGTGTGTGTGCACAGCAATAGTCACCCCCTCACCCGCACGGGCAATAATAATAATAATCCTTGTATTTGATACAGCGCCGTATCACATTGTTGAGACATCTCAAAGTGCTTCACAGGCTATACTGTAAAGTGGGGTTTCCTGTGTATTTTCTGGATGAAATGTGGCAGCCAGTTTGCACGCTCCAGTGTCCCACAAACAGTCGTGGAGTGAGTGACCAATATTTTATTTGGGGGGAATGTTGGCCAGGAGACCGGGAGAGAGAAACTCCCTTCTCTTTTCGAATAGCGCCGCGGGATCTTTAACGTCCAGCTGAACAGGCAGACGGGACCTCGGTTTAATGTCTCATCCTAAAGTGTATGATGGGCTAGAAAGCCTGATGGCACCAGGTTAGGGCGGTGGTTGTTCCAGAATGAACGGGTCTAACATCCAGGAGGAGATTACTGGCTCTTCATCCACAGACGCACAAAAAGATGGTCCAGAGGGAAAGGGGGGAGGGGGGGGAAGAGAAGGCGATTAACGAAATAATTAACTGGTCAAATACACAAGTTGCCTGGGAACAGCACTCTCTACTTTGCGCACAGCTCAGCTTCACTGTTGATCATTCCAAGAATGATAAGCGTACGCAGCCCCACAATTCTCAGTAGGACGTAAACACAGACCAGCGATGCTTGAAGGGCAACACACAAGCAGCAGTTTGTGGGGAACAAACCAGACCAACTTTCTCTGTACTCTGGTCAGGCCGCACCCAGCATATTGCACACAGCTCTAATTAAGTGGTATGTTGAACACTTTTGGGGAACGGATGTGTTTACAAGTAAAAGCAAAAGCCAAGCATCGAACCCAAAACTACCTTTAACTCCGTAAAGAGAAGTTGTGCTAAAGTCACTGTCATTTGATGGGTTGAAAGTTAAAAGTTATCACTTCTTGATTAGTTTTGTATCGTACCTTAAACGTCATTGACAGCTTTGCTCATGTGACTATACAGTGATGGAGTCCTGTAGCTGAGTGGTTAGAGCACTCGCTTTGCAAGCGAGAGATCTGGGTTTGAATCCTAGCAGGGTGAAACCTTGGGCAAGTTTCCTTACTCCACACACAGCCTAATAATAATCCCTCAAGAAAAAAAACAACAATAAATTGGTCACTTCAAACCAAGACTGTGCTGCTGTGCACGATTGACTTCCACATTTCGCCCACAAAAAATACAATCAATGCACTTTACAGTCTATTCTGTGAAGCGCTTTGAGACGTCTGGAAGACATGAAAAGCGCTATATCAAATGCAAGGATTATTATTATTATTACTGTTATTTGTAGCTCAGTGTTCAGTGAAGTTCTGGTCAAGCTGCAAGTGTAGGAGAAGAGGAACTGAATAATAATCGTTGAATTTGATAGAGTACCTTTCACAATGGGAGGACGTTTCAAAGCGCTTGACAGGATTTACTGTGAAGTTTAAAGACCGTGTGACTGTGTGATAGCCAGTTTGCGCTCAGCAACCTGGGGAATTCTTGGCCAGGACACTGGGAGAGAGGAACTCCCTTCTCTTTTTCAGTTGCGCCACGGGATCTTTAATGTCCACCTGAAAGGGCAGACGGACCTTGGTTTAATGTCTCATCTGTTGGACAGAGCTCCCACTGTTGATGAGGGGGGGACTCAGTTTGACCTTCTAGAGAATTCAATGTTTTTATGTTCCTTGGAGTTGTGTTACTGAAAGAGAAGTGAGTAGTGTGCCCAGGAGCGAAATCTGAGCCAGGGCCAGGCCTTCTGTGGTGTAAATCTGATCCTCGCTGCATAGAGGACAAACCTTCTGACTTGTGAGTCTCTGTGCCTCAGGTGACAGGGAACCGCTGTGGTCTGAACTTGGTCAAAGAGCAGTGAAACAGATCAATAGAAGGCCATGCGGGAACCTGAATGGAGCAATGATCCACTGACGCAGGCTTGTGTGTCGCTGGGTTATGTATGTTATCACCTTGTTTACCTGATTTACAAAGCAAATGTTTCAAAGTCTTTGACGTACTTTACCTGCTGTTAAAATTGCTTTGTTGTTCTTGAAAACTTTATGGAATCCTGTAGTGTAGTGCTTAGCACTTCACAAGCAAGAGACCCCGGTTTCGATTCCCAGACGGGGCAAAACCTTTGTCAAGTTTCCTTACTCCACACGCCTTTGTTTACCTAGAAGTAAATAGGAACCCAGTTGTTTGTCGATTAGCAGATCACTTTCCGGGGGTAATAATCCCTTCAACAACAAAAAATGCAGGCAGTCAATCAAGTGTTTGTGGGACAACCCTGTGCGCAATTGGCTGTCGCGTTTTGCCCACAAAATCCACAGTCAATTCACTTTACAGTATATTCTGTGAAGTGCTTTGAGACATCTCAATGGTGTGATAAGGCACCATATCAAATGCAAGGATTATTATTATTATACTCATCACCACGATTTGTCTCTGTTGGGAACAGCTCTCTGTCTGTGCAGGATACCTTTTCCTACTGATTACCTTGTCCTGTCTGTTTACCAGTTTCTGTTTTCACTCTGTGATCTACAGGAATCATTTATTTTTCACTCAGGAAGTTAATAATAATCCTCCGATTTGATATAACATTTCCAAGTGTTTCACAGGGAACTGCTATCATGTGTATTGACTGTATTTTCTGGCCATCAGGTTAAGATTTCAGTGCTGGAAAGCAAGCTCTCACATAAAATGGGATTTCCTTTATATCAGAACAATTGTATAGGAATAAAGCTCCTGATACTTAGCAGATTTTTCGCTAAAATAACTACGTTGCATTGCGAATTGTTTGATGTGAAAGAATTATTTCTGGGCTTCTTATGCTACATTTCTCAAAACGCATCCAATATTTGCTGGGCTCACAAAGCAATCAATGCTGACTTCTCAGGCGTGGAATAGGTTGGAATGATTTCAGTGCCTCACTACAAAGTGCTGTGGTCTGACAATGGCACAGCTGCTCTGTTAAGGTGACGGTGCCTGTGACTTGAACAGCAATGGGGAAAGAGCAGAGCAATGGGATTAGAGCAAAGAGCTGCAGTGTGAGGGAGTGAGCACCAGCATGGACACGATGAGGAAATGGCTGCTGTCACCTTGGAGCAAGTTTAGGGCCAAGGAGACGTGCAGGAGGAGTGTCCCTAGTTTGTCATTTGATATCCAACAAGTGCAGATTTGAGCCCTCACGAGGTGAATGGCATGTTACCAGGAACTGCCTGCGAGCTTCCT